ATTCGAACCCACACGAGATCCCCAGATTCAAATATTTTCTTCCTCCTGTGAGCATCAGCTGCCATCTTATATTTGTAATTGGAACTTTGCAGCTTCAGACGAACTTTTGAAAGCATCTCAGTGAATTGATCAACCTATTCTGAAGCGGATTTGCTCTTACATTTTGTAATCACTACAACATCAACACAAGTGTTGGGCATTTTTGTATATACAATACTAAAGGGACACATACCCGTAGATCTGTTTGGCATCGAGTTGAATGCAAACTCAGCTTGGTCGAGGACTTCATCCAAAAATTTTTGTTGTTCTTGTACTAGACAGCGGAGTAGATTTCTCAATGTTCGATCCACTACTTCGGTATGCCCGTCAGTTTGCGGGTGATAAGCAGAACTTAGCTGAAGTTGTGTGCTTAGCCTCTTCCGTAATTCCCGCCAAAAATGGCTCATAAATTTCACATATCTGTCGGATGTAAGGCTTCTTGGCACTCCGTGTAGCATCACAATCTTCCGAAATAAAAGTTTAGCAATGTTCAAGGCATCAGATGTCTTCTTGCACGCCACAAAATGCGCCATTTTCGAAAATCGATCCACAGCTACCATTATGGAATCATTCCCATGTTTTGTACGCGGCAGCCCAAGCACAAAATCTAGGCTTAGATCTTCCCAAATCGAATCCGGCACCGGTAATGGTTGATACATACCGGTATTTTGTCCTCTTCCCTTGTACATTTGGCAGATAGAGCACCTCTCAACATACTGCAACGTCTCTCCTCAGATGTGGCCAATAAAAGTTAGCTTGCATTTGCTTCAACGTGTTGTCACGCCCCACATGAGCTGGAAGACCCCCATTGTGTATTTTCTATATGAGCAATTGACGCCACGAGGATTCAGGAATGCAGAGCAAGTTGTTTTAAACAAAAAATTATGCCTTATAGAATATTCCTCTACTGGCTCATTGCTAATACAGCTAAGCCAAGCTGCAGCAAAGTCTTTATCTGTCGCATATAAATCACAGAGATTAGTTAATCCCACAAACTCGGTTTGCAACTGTGCGATCAAAGCAGATCTGCGGCTCAAGGCATCTGCTACACGATTTTGGGCTCCGCTTTTGTGCTTAAGCACAATGTGAACTTCTGTAGGAACAGTATCCACCTCGCATGCATGCGGTTAATGTTTTTTTGGGAATTTATGTACTACAATGCTTTGTGATCACTGCACAACACAAAGTCTTGATGTAGTAAGTAGCGCTCCCATTGCTTTAATGCTCTTACGACTGCATATAATTCTTGTTCATACACCGACCAGCGTTGTCTTGAAGGGCATAAATTTTCACTAAAAAATTCTATGGGCCGGTTGTCCTGTGCCAGAACAGCCCCAATTCCCACCGTGGAGGCATCAGTTTCAACCGAGAATGGCTTGTCGAAGTTGGGTAGGATGAGGACAGGTGCAGTGGATAATGCGTTCTTAATGGTTTCAAAACTTTTCTGATGCTCATCCTTCCATTGAAATTGTTTGAGTTTCAAAATATCAGTGATTGGAGCTAGAATAATGCTGAAACCTTTTATAAATCTCCTATAGAAATTGGCTAGGCCATGTAAACTCCTTATATCTGAGAAAGTTTTTGGAGTTGGCCAATCAACTATTGCCGCCACTTTCCTTGGATCAGCGAATACTCCATCAGCGGAGATCCTGAATCCCAAAAACAGCACTGTGGTTGTTGAAAACTCACACTTAGAGATGTTTAAATACAATTTGTTCTTCCTTAAGACTTCAAAGATGGCCTTCAAATGCTGTAAATGATCTTCCAAGCTACAACTGAAGACTAGCACGTCATCAAAATAGGCCACACAACACTTATTGAGGAAAGGTTTTAAGACTTCATTCATGAGCCTCATGAACGTTGCGGGAGCATTGCAAAGGCCGAATGGCATCACATTCCATTCGTAAAGTCCTTCACGTGTTTTAAATGCCGTCTTCCATTCATCACCTTGTCTGATCCAAATTTGATGGTAGCCACTCCGTAAGTACAGTTTACAGAATATTTGAGAACCCGCTAATTTTTCCAGCATCTCTTCGAAACGCGACATAGGGAACCTGAACTTCACAGTTATTTTGTTAATTGCTCGGCTGTCTATACACATCCTCCAACTATCATCTTTCTTCGGCACTAATAAAGTTGGAACGGCACACGGATTCAAGCTATGCTGAATCAGTTGTTTTTCCAGCAACTCATCCACAATTTGCTGCAAAATTTGGTGTTCAGTCGGGCTCAATCTATAGTGTGGCAGGTTAGGTAGTGTGGCTCCGGGCACCAAGTCAATTTGATGTTGTATAGTTCGAATTGGCGGCAATTCATTCGGCAACTTATCAGGTCCCAAATCTAAGAATTGTTGAAGTAAAGCCTCCACGATCTCTGGAGCAGCTACAGGCAGTGAGGGACTTTCCTACTCTTTTACAATTAACGCCAGAATTTCAGTAGACTCCTTCCAAGCATGAATCAATTGATTCCCTATCACAGTGAACATAACAATTTTGTCATTAGTCACTAAAGAGTTACCTTCTTGACTGTTGGGCAGCAACCTAAGCTTCTTTCCCTTCCATTCAAATGCATAAGTGTTTGCTCTGCAATCATGTGTTGCTCCCACATCAAATTGCCACGGTCGCCCAAGGATGATATGAAAAACATCCATATCAACTACGTCACAGAGTACTTCGCTGGCATAATGTTTCCCAATAGTAAACGATACTCGGCACATATCAGTGACGGTCATCTCCATACCTTTCTTCACCCAACCAATTTTGAATGGGTTGGGATTTTTTGTGGTTTTGAGATATAAAGACTGAACCACGGCCTTAGATATTACATTTTCTGTGCAGTCACTATCAACCAGTAAATCACAAACCTTCCCACCAATGGTGCATCTGGTCCTGAACACCGCATTCCGCTATGATTTAGTCGCTTGACGGGGAGCTAATAACATCTTGTGGATTACACAAACAAGTGGTTCACCTTTGTCACCTCCCACATCTTCATGAGCATAGTTGACTTCCCCTCCACCATCTTCTAATCCATCTTCATCCCCGACCTCAATCAGCTGAATTTGAGGTCTTGTCGGGCATTCATTCAATTTATGTCCCTGCTGGAAACATCTAAAACATTTGATGGTGGTCGGTTTCTCATATGGATGTCTTTAGCCACACCTTTGAACCTTGAATTCACCCGCACTTCAACATTTCTGTTGTTATTGTTGCCCGCAGACTGAGCTCCAGGAGAGAGTTGTGGGGTACGATTAACATTCACAGTTGTGGATCTAATGTTATCAGTTGCAGGTTCAACTGATCTTTTTCCTTGACGGGCACTGTTATGCCTTGCCGACTGCATCTCTACCTTTAAAGCGTAGTTCACTGCTTGGGACAGTGACCATATGGCATTCAGCTCAAGTCTATCCTGAATTGCTTCCTTTAGACCTCTGATGTAACGAGGTACGAGCTGATTTGCCGATTCATTTAAATTCTTTCTGGCACTCAACCGATAAAACTCCTCGGCGTAGTCGCTAACCGACCTGATTCCCTGATGACAATGCTGATATTGCATATAGAGCAACTGTTCATAGTCCGTGGGTAGAAAGTGTCCACGAAGCAACTGCTTCATTCGGCGCCAATTGCGAACAGGTCCTCGACCATCTCTACGTCGCGATTGTAGCAATTGAAGCCACCAAGCACTGGCTCCACCTTTCAGTCGACACACGACGTAATTTACCTGTTTTGCTAGCTCAATTTCCATATATTCAAAAAATGTCTCCACCGCTCGCTCCCAAACCAAATAATCCTCAATGTGCAGCATGCCGTCAAAGAACGGAATATCTAATGTGACGCGAAATTCGCTGTAAGGCCGGACTGTTTCCCTCTATCGTCGTCGGCGAGGGTGAGTCACTTCCTCATCTGAGCCTGAAAATTCCAGGGCGGTGACTTGTTCTGCTCCTTCTGAATCTGAATCTTCCAATGCAGGCGTATCATGAACTGGGTTCCATCCCCCATCAAACCCTCGACGAGCTACCTGTGTGGTTGCAGGCATTGTTGTACGAAGGTTTGGATTTCGCTCAATACAAGCCAAAACAGCTCTTAGGTCTCTACGTACCTCAGCGTGGAAGTGATAGAACTCCTCCGTCAACTCCTGCAGCTGATGTGCGAGACTTGAGTGCTCAACCCAAAGGGCTTCAAGGCTTTTGTCTTCGCCGGGAGCTACCCGTTTGCTACTCTCGGCCATCTAGCTCTGATACCAAAATCTGATGTAGTATCCTGTGAGAGATAAGCACTAGCACAAGAAGAACTCAATGGAACAGTGAAGCCAACTTCTCTATATTCTATATGAAAAACTATCAAAAGACGATCTCTTCTTCCTTCTATTCCTATAAGTAATTGCAGAAAATAAACCTATGATAACTAAACATAAAATGGACAAGCAGGACAGAACTAACTCCAGTGCTAACAAACTAAAAAAGGAATACGAGAAAGTGGAACCAAAGCATGATATGTGCGCATATCTGGCGGTCTGGTATACCCCAGCTCCTCCGTCTAATGATGCTCCGCATCAGAACTCGAGCTTCATATTTTCTAAATGAGTTGACCTCGAGCTCGAGCTCGAGGTCGAACTAATTCAGGGCTAAATGAGCCAAGCTTGATAAGTCAAATACTTAACTAGATTGACTCATTTATACCCCTAATTCAACCAGCAATTTTTGAACTATTCTCAGGATTCTAGCACCCAATATCGCAAAATGAAAAGTTGATAAGATGAAAGCAGTTATACGAGCAATTATTAGGTCCTTTCACTGGATGTAGATGAAGGTTCGATTTTAGTCAAAAATAAGTAAAAAGTGCAAATACCGAGTTTTTTGAAAAACTCGGTATTTTTTCAAAAAACTCGGTATTTGCACTTTTTTAGGCAAAACCGAACCTTCCTCTAAGTCCTTGCACCGGACCAAATAAAAACTCCAGTTATACAGGGTACTAAAATCGAGTATTCTGCCAAAGAGGTCCACAATAAATCTTTACATGATTAGCACAATTGCAATAACAGACGAGCAAGTTTTCTAGGAAGCTTTTTCTTTTCAATTAAAATAGATGAGATAAAATAGACAATCCCAGCTATCATTGAAAAATGCTTAATTCAACTTTTTCCACATCATTCTTAGAAGAATGAGCTTCCAAGATCTTCAGCATCTCCTAAAGCTCTTCCCTAAGCAATATTCCCCTCATCTTCATCATGGTAGTAAGGGGACAGTTTACCATCCTTTGGTAGAAGACTCGGCTTGCTTTCTTCACGAACTTCGACCAGCATCTTAACTACCCTCCTCATTGAGGGTCTGTTGATGGGTAGATTGCTTGTGCAGTGAAGGCCAATGTGAAGGACTTTAGAAATCTCCGCTTTGGAGCTGATATCGAGCTTGGAATCAATTACACTGTCCTCCCCATTTTGTTGGATGTTGCTGCACACCCATTTCACCAAGTCCTTCTCCCCGAACTCCGGCCCCACCGGTGGCTTTCCAGTTATCAGCTCCAGAATAACAACACCAAAGCTATATATGTCACTTTTTTCATTCACGCGAAGGGTGTATGCATATTCTGCAGCAGTAAAAAAATATTAATAGCCCAATCAAAACAACTATCTTTTTATATTTAACGGAATGGTAGCAGCTTCTTTGACAAAGTTTTAATTCATATATTTATATATAGAAAGAGAGAGAAAGAGAGAGAGAAAGTAAGCATTAAATTTTAGCTTATCCGAATTCTCAAATTTATTATCAACGAATTACTTAAGATTTAGAGTACATAATTTGCAAAATATTGAAATGATTGACAACAGAGGCTAAAGTTCTTATATATTATAAGTAAGCAATAAATAATGAATAAACCACTGTTTGACAAATAATATTATATTAGTATTCCCCCCATCTATCATTAAAATTTGATGTGTCATTATATAGCACTTTACATATTAGTCCAATATTATCTCAATCATGGGAGAAATTATTATGTGGAGTTCGGACATAGAACGTCATCCGAAGACCAACCAGAATGCATCATGTCATCAATATCAAGCCGTGGAACCGAGCAATACCAAGCCGTGGTACTGAACAAGAGGTGATGTGGTGTATTCTGGTTAGTCTCCGAATAACGGTCATCATCCACACAGAATAATTAATCAAATCATGGAGTGTACATGTATATAAGTGTGAAGTGTGTGTGAAGTTCTTATAGTTTATTATGCTCGTTCATTTACAAATGATGATTTAGTTTGAGAGTGAAAGATATAGGGTGCAAACTCCGTGATTGAGATATCATTACAAAAATATTTAATGTAATTAATAGTAGAGAAAACTCCAACTGATTGAAAAATTATTAGAAATTGTGCTTATTGAATTTATGTTTAAAAAGAAAAGAACTAGAATTCTTGGCTAAAGAACACGAAGATGGAACATGGATGACTTTGGTTCCCTGCAGATTTATTCTGATGACCAAAAATTCAGAACTTGACAAAAGTTCATAGACAACAAATATTACTATGATAGATAGAAGAGTTTTCTATAGAAAATTAGCAAACAATAAAATGAAAGAATGATTAGAAACTTTAACAAGCTCATTAGTACCACACACCTGGAGCTATGTATCCACATGATCCAGCAATAACAGACATGGACTGAGGTCCCTTTCCAATAGCATCGACAACTTTTGCAACGCCAAAATCTGAAACTTTTGCCCCGAAATCTCCATCTAAAAGAATGTTATTGGATTTAACATCTCTGTGAACAATAGGTGGAACACAGTCATGGTGCAGATAGCAGAGCCCCTCTGCCGCATCCAAGGCAATCTTAAACCTCGTTGGCCAATCCAAAAGGCTCGCCTTGCTGCTATGCAGTAAGTCCCCTAAGCTCCCATTCGGCATGTACTCATAAACCAGAAGCTTGCAATCTCTATGACTGCAAGAACACCAAAGCTTTACAATATTCTTGTGTCGAATCTTCCCCAAAGTCGCCACCTCTGATTCAAATGCGTCATAAGCAGCTTCGTGATGGTTTGCACCATCATTCTTTAAAGAATTTGATTTCCATAGTTTTTTCACGGCCAGAGCCTCGTTGTTACTAAGAACCAGCTTGTAAACTTTCCCGGATGCCCCGCTGCCAATAACGTTATCCTCATCCAATGAATCCAATATCTCGTATTCACTGAAGCCAAGCTTGTGGAATGAAGTCAGAATCCACTTAGATTTATCCATCATTTTCTTTCCTCTCTTGATGTTCCAGTACTTCCAGTAAAACAAAGTGATACCAACAATGAGTACCAAAGCAGCAAATATAAAGATTGCTCGAAGAAGCCAGAAGAACTTGCTGCGGCCATGGCTGTTGCCAGCCGAGCTCGGGCATAGCCCATTGAAATCCCGGCACAAGCCGGGATTGTCAAGGAAGCTACTTCTGTAGGCATCGTTGTGGAACATTGGCGGGATGGGGCCTGAGAGCTGATTATTGGATAGATTGAACTGGTTTAACTTCAAGTTCTGCAGTTGCATGGGGATCTCTCCTGAAAGGACGTTCCCTGATAGGTCAAGGTAGTTCAGCACAGGGAGATTCCCCAGTTCTAAGGGAATTCTGCCGGTGAAATCATTGTCTGCAAGGTTTAGCTTGGTGAGCTTCCCCCAGGACTTAATTCCGGTGAGCAGCTCACCGGAGAGAGAGTTGTTGTGGAGATCTAGTTGTCCGAGTTCGGGCAATGATCCAAGTGACACCGGCAATGGACCTGTTAACCGGTTATCGGAGGCGGAGAATTCATAAAGCTTAGAAAGTGAACCGATTTCCGCCGGGATGTTTCCGCTAAACTGGTTCCTGGCGATCAGCAACTTGGAAAGATTGGTAGCTCCAGCTATGTTAGAGGGTATCTCGCCAGAAAAGGAGTTGTCCGTGAGTTCCAGAATCCAGACGTGAGGAAGCCCCCACATGCCTGCGGGCACCACGCCAGAGAGCCTATTGTTTGCTAACCGAACACGGGAGAGACTCCGGCAATGGCCAAGACCTTCCGGCAAGCTGCCGGAAAGATAATTGTTGATGAGAAGAATCTCCTGCAGCTTGCCGCCATCGCAGATTCCTTTCGAGATCTCACCAGTGAGGAGGTTTTCAGATAGATCCAGGAACATTAGCGGCGAGTTGGTGCCGAGGTCGGCGGGAAGAGAACCCGAGATATTATTCGAAAATACACGAAGTTCCAAAAGCTTTCCAGCCTTGCCGGCGGTGACAGGAAGATATCCGGCGAAAGAGTTTTGGTAAAGGTGGAGGCTTTCAAGTAGCGGAATAGAGAAGACATCGTCGGGAATCGAACCAGAAAGGAGGTTCATGGCAGCATCGAAGCGTCTTAGGGCGGTGAGATTTGAGAGTCCAAGAGGTAAATTGCCGGAGAGTGTGTTGTTATACAGCTCTATCTGGACGACTGAAGCGAGACCAGGAAAAGTGTCGGGTATGTTGCCCGTGAGAAAGTTGCTGGAAAGGTCGAGGTTAGTGAGCTTCTTAAGGCGGCCGAGGGTTGAAGGAATAGAACCAATGAGGCCGCAGCCAGCAAGCCAAATGGTTTCGATATTGCTAAGGTTTGCTAGAGAGGAAGGGATTAAGCCGGGGGCGAAGGGGTTGTAAGCAAGATTGAGTTCCTGGAGGGTGGAAATGTTACCAAGGAATGCGGGAATAGTTTCATTGAGGAGGTTAGCGGTAAGGGAGAGGATTTGCAGAGAAGGGAAAAGGGCAAATGAGACGGGTATGGCTCCAGTGAAGTTGTTGGCGCTGACATCGAGGTAGCGGAGCAAAGACAGAGAAGCTAGCGAATCGGGGAGGGAACCGACGAGGAGGTTCTGAGAAAGGTCAAGGTGGGTGAGTGAGCGGCAGGGGAGAAGGGAGGAGTTTAGAAGGGTGGAGTTGATGTAATTGAGAGACAAGTTAACGACGGACAGATTGGGAAGGCGGCAGATGGCAGCAGGGAACGGCCCGGCGAGGTCGAGGGCATTGAGATCTAGATTAATTACGGAAGGGTTTCCCCCGGTGCCGGAAATGGTGGCGCAGGTGATGCCGGTCCATTTGCAGGGGGTGGAATCGCTAGAATTCCAATTGGCGAGTGCGTTGTTGGGGTCCTCGAGACCGAGTTTAGCCTGAATTAGATCAAGACCTTCCTGATTCAGGGCGAGCGCAACTGTCCGTAGATGCAGCAAGAGCAGAGCAGCAACAAGGTGGAGCATCTGCATCTTCAGTCTCTGTTTCTATGATTCTCTGCAAGCTGCTTCTGCCTTTAGAGTGTGAAAGAACATAGTAAGAAGAGACAAGGGTACCGCCTGATGGGTTTGGCCATTTGGAGCGGTTGATGGAGAGAAAGCTAGAGCAGTTTCTAAACTCCAGTTGGAGGGAAATGAGGCAGAAGCAGGGACTGCGGGAAAAGTTGAATACTTACGGGGAACTGGATTACAGGATTACGAGGAGAAGTATAATTAAGAGAGGTAAATGAATGGGGGGACGGTTACTTCTTACTGGTTTTGATCGTGGGCGAACCGTCGACAATGCCGGAAGATTAAATTTTTTTGACTTTTGTATTATCGTTTTCTGGACATTGATAATCGTTGGAAAATGCTTCGCTTTTATATAATTTGCTGTTTAGAACATTTTATTTTAAGTAAGAATAGTATATATTACCGTTTGTATTGATATGAATTTAATATAATCATATTTTCTATTAAATATTAACAATTTATCAATATAAAGATAATGATTGGGAACTAAATAAAAAATTAAAATTTTGAATTAAATTACGGTGAAGTCCTAATCACTTAATTGTCCGGACGCAAAATTTAAAAGGCTATTCTTCTCAAGGGGGTATCTTTTGCAATCATATGCCAAAAAAGAATCAGAAGTCCCGAAAGTCATACAAAAACGTTTTAAAATGTTCACATATTTTAATATTACAAGTTTTTCCGTCCGTTTAGCATGCATGATTTAATTTATTCTTGGATCAGGCCCCGAAGAAATAATCTAGAAATAAGAATAATGAAAATAATTTATATATTATAAATTTTTTTTATAATATTAGTCTTATTTATATATATATATATATATATATATATATATATATATATGCTTACTAGAACTGAAAGTTTGTTCATATCGTCCAGGACGATAGGATATCATCCAAGATGATAGGATATCGTCATGTTATGATTAGTACAATTCATCAAATATCGTCCAGAGCATCGACCTAGATAGGAGTCTGAACAATCAAAAAGTGACTTGATCTGGGACAATTAGTTCAAAACATCATAGATCTTCTAAAACATCGTCTTGAATGGATGTTTGGATGATGGAATATTGACCTGATTGTCCGGGACGATAGTGATATCATCCGGGATGATTAGTTCAAAACATCACAAATCGTTCAGAACATCGCCCTGAATGGAACCATACTGATGTTTGATCGTCCAGAAAGAATTAAGGTTTAATGTAACTGATCATCAAGGACGATCCTGCGATCGTCCACGACGATAGGATCGATCAATCAAACCTTAATTGATTTAATTCATTATCAGATTAACTTAGGCATAATTATGCTTCATCATCCAGGATAATGTCCAAAAATAAGAGCTACTTAAATAGATATGGCGGCTGATTCTTTCTGATTTGAGCCTATCATCTAGGATAATGATAACATCGTCCGGGATGATGTGCTTAATGACACTTATATTAACCAGAATGTCCTCATTAGGGTTTCTTTTTTAACTGATAGTCCAGGATGATTTTAGGATCATCTCGGACGATGTGAGTAAAAACAAATCAGTCAAAATTTTCTCAAATGTGTGTATGCAAGGTTACTTAGCATCATGAACCACGTCGTTTACAATTGACTCAATAAAAGGTAAAAGATTTACAAACTAACTCAGACATAGTCTACCCAATCTTGAGCTGGTTCAAATTATAATTTTGATCTTGTGGACCTAAAATGTTAGTAGACAAGGCAGTCATAAAGAAACAGAAGTATTTGTTATCATCAAAATTCTATTCCCTAAAATTAGATTCGTAACAATCTCTGCCTTTTTTATTATGACAAATATAAAAATAATTAAAACAGTTCAAAGCAATTTAATGGAAATAGAGAGAAGAAACAAACACATATCAACTATTTAATAACAGTACAAACTAGAACAGTGGTACAAACTAGAAACAGTACAAACTAGAATAGTATAGCTACTCTCCCTTTTGACATCACAAAACGGAGGAGGGAAAAAATCAAAAATAATGCATAAACTGTAAAATATGAGAAGACTAAAACAAGAAAAAATAATATCACAAAAATAAACTAAAAGAAAAATGGCCCCTAATCATCCGAAGGAAAAGGTGGTGGTAGTGGTGGCTGCTGAAAGTAACTAGAAAGAGTGGCAAACTGCTCTCCAAACCAGGCCATATTCTGTTCGTACTGGTGCTGCTGGTGAGCCACGTAGGAGTCAAAATGAGCAACATCCTTAGCATGTTGCTGCTCATATTCAGCAATGTAGATCTCGAACTATGTCTCCCACTGGTCGAATCACTCCACCAGCTGATCCAGTTAAGAGTGCTGGTAGAGCATAGTAGGTGCAAGAACAGGTGCAGGAGCTGCCTCCTCCTCAGCTCCCTCGACTTCCTCGTGCCCCGGGTGGAGATGAGTACTATGAAGAATGTGGAATGAGTTGTTTGAGTAGAAGGCAGGCTGAAAATTTGGTGGGGCAGGATATTAGAGATTGTATTTTGAATCTAAGACATAGATAATGATACATCTTAGGGAAAGATTGGGCTTCCTCCTATGTCATGGATCTCAAATACTACTCAGATGCTCAATGTAATGAAAAATCAAATCAGTGTCATTGAATTCACGATGGGCCAAAATGTAAAAAGTGATGATCGAAAGAAGTGGAGTAATATGAATGCGATCATCAGCTTTTGAAAGGATAGAAGTGCGAAGGATATGTTGGATTATCCTAGCATCTTTAAGTAAGGTGCTAGACTCTCCAACGTGAAAGTGAGCATTGGTGTTCATTAAAAAGTGATTGGCTAGAGCCAGTCGTAGTCAAGATCAAAACATAGGGTATGGAGTTTGTCCCATATGGTGGACAGCTATAAGAGCTCTTGACAGTCCTGATATGTGCTTTCGATGGGACGTTTATTTATATAGGAGTAGAAATCAATGAAAGAGGAATTGATGTGAAAAATAGCATAAAATTCAAAAAGTAATTCCGAATTAAAAGAGACAGTGAGAGTAAGGAGGAAGGTGAGGGAAGTGTGAGCAAATAGATAAAGGATAGGATAGGAAAGAATGTGCGGGTTTAAAGTCTGGGAAACAGTGATCCCGACAATCTTATACCTCAGATAGGCGGCTTGATCACCCGCCTCAGTAAAGTATAGATCCAAATTTTCCCTTGATGAACTCCCAGAAGGCATGCGAGACCTCTTTCCTCCTTCTATGATCAAGAACAATAAAAAAATAGGAACTGCAAGACGGATGGAAGAAGGGTGTGTGAGAAAAAAATGTTTGGAAGCCTCGGATTTTAAAGAATCGGCCCGATCGTCCAAGACGATCGCAGAATCATCCAAGACGATTAGGTGCAATAATTACGTTCAGGATGATTGGTCAAAAAGGCGATAATATCATCCAGGACAATCAGATATCATTCAGGATGATAAGATACAGGCCGTGAGAGCTCGTTCCTTTGATTTGCCTTCTAAGATTTGAGTTTCTCTCCCAGGATCGTCCGGGATGATATTGAGATAGTCCAGGACGATCAGTGCATGGAAACAGCTGATTTTTCTGGAATGGGATCGTCCAGGCCATTTTTGAATCGTCCTGGGACGATCAGATGAGACAAAAATCCCGAGAGCAAAATCGAAATTATCAGCCTGAGGAATCGTCCTAGACGATTGGATTTTGTTCACATCGTCCTGGACGATGTGGCGATCGGCCTGGCCGATCAGGTTTATTTTATAAGGAAATCAGCTCGTTTTGAGGAGAGAGAAAATCATTTTATAAAATCAAAAATATATAAGGAGAGAGAAAGAGAAGGAAAGTGAAGGAAAAGCTTGGTTTCGGAGGCCGCAGAGCGCTTTTCGTCTGTCGCCGCTGTTGAGGCATTTGTTTATCTCGCTGTAAGGACTCCGAAACCTATTTCTGTTTTCGAAGATGTTGGGTTTTGTTCGTTTTGTGCTCAGATTTGTGTTTTCGTTACCGAAAAACGCGCACCGTTTTGTATTGACGAAACTTTCACCGCACAACTTTTGATATGTTATTGATATGATTATTCTACACGTTTTGAGTACTTTCTGTAACGATTCTACCGGTTATTTTCTTATTGAAACCAACGTATGGATATCTACAACAGCAATATGGATTCTACAACAGCACTATGGATTTCTACAACAGCACTATTGATAGCCAGTGTTTGTACTTGTTCAGTAAGACCATTGTATGAAATTGCATGTGTACGATATTGCATTGTATGGATTTTCTGATAGGCATGATCTATTGATTTCCGATTGATTTATTGATATTGACGGATTTATTGTATTGTATTGATTTAACTGATTGGATTGATTGATGGATTTATGGGTTTCTGTTACTGCACGATTTCATTGATATTGTACGTTATTGATTTATGGATACCGACACCGTTATGGATATGGATATTATATTGATTCATGGATACAGACACCGAGATTATTGATTCATCGATATTATAGATTCATTGATTCACGGACATGATTGATGCTAATGATACAGATATCATTGATTGATTGATTGATTGGGTTGATTATTTATTGATTTATCAATTTGATTGTTGTATATGATTTTATTACATTAATTGACTTCAATTGTATTTGTCGATCATATTGATTTATTTCAACTGCTTTTTTAATTGTATTGATTTGATCGATTTATGGGATTCTAAGCCGATTGATATTATTGACCGAAAGTAATTACTTTAAGGAATTGATTGATGCGGTCTCACTGTTGTAGCATCGTTCGTGGTTGTCATTTGATTGTTCTCTTTGTGGATATAGATATATACGCTGCCGTACTGACAAGGAGCAAGTGATATTGAATAATTGATCGATTTGCAAATGTATGTTTTGATACGTTTCCATTCTATTTATTTGACTGATGTTATAGACGGATACGATAAGCAAGACGGCTAGACGACTGTATTGATGTAACTGATGTTATCGATTGCTCTGTATTGAGATTGTAGAGATTTGATGCATGCATTGATTTCTTGAGCTTTATGGATTTACTACTGTTTATTGATTTTATTGATTTCTGTTCCGTATTGATTTTTGTATCTGCATTGACTCATTGATCATGTACGATTGATTGATTTGACTTGATTTGATTAACCTGCATATTATTTCCAGTGTCGTGCTTTGATTTCAATTGTAGGCTTTGGTGACCTGCTTGGCTATTTAAGCTCATTATATGTGGTTAATATTTCAGGTGCAAAGCCTCCCGCGTGAAGCTTCTTTGGTCGCTAGTGTAGTTTTGTTTTTTTAGCCTATGGCAGGCTTTTGTTTTGTAGCCGTATGGCTATTGTACATATTCTTTT